CGTAGTACAACTTCAGTAGGAGTACAACTGTAGGACGCGGAATAGCTAAACTTGTTGCGTAGCTGCCTCAGCAATTTTCTATGTTCATTCCAGCTCGCTTTTTTCGGTGAGATTTCCCGGAGGCGTGCACGCTGCTTCTCAAGGAATGGACACTCTGAGGTGGATGTAACGTCTCAGCGAGGGTCGGGGTTTGAGACAGAAGAGCTGTGCGCTTGACTATTTCCCTTTACCAGCAGCTCAAATGCTCTCGAAGATGAGCTGAGCTGTCACCGCTTGGCCGTCGGTGGGGGTTTTGGGAGGCCTGCGGGCTACTTCCTTCACTACTTGGTGGTTTGTCTTTGGCAAAATCACTTGCATGTAACTTACAACTAACTTGTAGTATAGGTTATAACCGATTGCAAGTATAGACAACTCAGCTAACTTTGTAAGTGCAAGTCAGAGTACTTATAAGTATATTCAAACTTTTGAACTACTTAGTAACTTTTCAAGTATTTTTCAAAACGTTGACAAAACTACTGTTTTAAACTTACAAGTTGCTTAGAGAACTTAACTTTTTCAATGTTTAAAAAAGTACATTTTTTTCTTTCGCGAAAAGTTTTTCATTTAGCAGTGTTTTTCTTTCAAGCAATATTGAATGTGAAAAGATTTTGTTTACAGCATGTGTACAAATGTTTAGGTTTTGTATAGTGTACGCATATATACACTCACGCGCAGTGACTAGAGAAACGCATATTGTTCTTCAATCTGCGGCGGTTCCTTGAACCGCCAAGTAGAATATATGGTGTTCAACATTGTCTTCTTCAATCTGGTGCGGTTCTTTGAACCGCCAAGTAGAATCGTATCATCCTTCATTGTACAGTGTTGTTTGGTTCTTATGTCTTGTTCTTGCAGGGAATTTTTGGCTTGGGTTTGTTTTTTGTCATGGCTTTCGAGCGGCTAAAAGCGCTTGATCCCTACCTGGAGCAGCTGAAGGGCGCTGACAATTTTAGCGGCATTGTTGAAGAGCAGTGTGTTTCTTTGGTGAAGGAAATCCGGTCTATGGATAAGATTGACATATCCAGCGCCACACCGTTGCTGGCTCTCATCCAGCAGTGTCCTCATTGGACGAAGGCTCATCGCGAGAGCCTGCTGCAAGTGATCCAGGCCAAGGTCGAAAAGAGTGTGGGAAGCCGAGTCGTGAAGGGCAGGTTTCCTCTTCAAGACTACACGATGTTCCCCTTGTATTTGGCAGAGCGCGACTGGACGGTCATTTTAGGCACTGCGAACTTTGCTCACAAGTGTACTGTCATCATGGAAAGGCTTCACAAGCTCGGTCTGCGGCACCCAAGTGAGCCCACCTATGCTATGCTGACAGCATCATTGTTGCTGAGTGAACCGGAGCGTCTGTCAGATCACACGCAGCTGCGGACATCTGCGGACCAGCTACCAATATGTGAAAGAATTGGTCAAATCCTTCTTGAAGAACAGAGAGGGCGAGGAATGTGAGGTTTTGAGGACGTTGCCGCCCAGTGTGGGCGCTTGCCCTGAGATCTTCATGAACAAGGCCTACGCGCAGGATTAAAAACCGGGACCACTTCCCCATGGAGTGACAGTGGAAGGCCTGAAGCAAGTGGAGAAAATGGTGAGCATGCGATCCAACAACAAGAACTTAGAGCAATACCCGAAGGCATCTGGCCGCTTCATGATGGACCAGGCCATGGGCTTCCAAGGCTTCAACATGTTTGCCAGTGCCATCAACATGGGCTTGAACCACTTGGCACAGTTGCGACACACTGGAGGCCCCATTGGGTCTGAATAAGTTTGGCAGGTCGTGTATGGTTTTTGGTTTGAATAAGCTTCAATTTTTTAATGTCTTTTTGAACGCTGATGCAGGACAGCCATCTCCAATTTTGGCACCTTTGGGTCATCGTCCGCAACTTGCTTTGCCAGCGCCATCTACAGCGCCTGCGCTTCCCTTGCCTGCTCCAGAGCAGGCGGTTGTCCCTGCTAATGCTCAGGTGCCTGCAGCTGAGACCGCGTTGGTAGTGTCTCCTGCCACTGCAGCACCAATGGAAGTTTGTGCGCCAACTGTTGCAAATCCAAAGCTGCCTCCTCCTGCTGCACCAGTACCTATGGAAGTTTGTGCGCCAGCTCCTGCAAAGGTGCAGACCGCCAACGATCTACTTGATGTTGTGGCGCCCCAAGCCAAAGCCAAAATTGCTGTCCATTGAGGACCAGAAGCGTGATGATGACAAACTTGATGGCAAACCGGCAGATGCCCCCAGTGCCATGCAAGCAAGCGACATGCTTGAGAGCGCGTTGCGCGAGCGGGACGAAGAGAAACAAACGATCAAAAGAGGCAAAATGGCAAGGCCTGCAGCTTCCGTGAGCAAAGCTCCTTCGAAAGCAAAGCCTCAAGAGCCGGCGGTTTTGAAGAAACCAAGTGCAGCGCCATCAACCATCAAGACAAGTACGAAGAAGCTTCAGAATCAGCATGGGCACTGCAAAGGCCCGATTCCTCGTGACCGAAAACGACTGAAGCCGTCTGGGTGTTCTAAGTGTCGCTTTGTTCCTGGCTGTTGCAATAGTTGCTGGGTCCAGAAAGGATACAGCGTCCCATAGACCTGAAGTCCAGCTGAAGTCCAGCTTCTGAAATCAGTGCGCTAAAAACATTTCTGGTGCTTGTGCTTGTGTTGATAGTGTTGGGGTGGTGTAATAGTCTACGCACATAGCGGCTCTTTGAGCCGCTGCATGCGCCCATGTTGGTTTTGGTACGTTTTGGTTTCATCGTCTGGGCAAATAGTTTCTAAGCAGTCTTGAATTGCGCAACAAAGTAGCTTGGTGTGCACTCTTTACTTCAAGCATTCATCGCTTGCAAACTGGGCGCGCCATGCCTTTGGACTTCTACGAGGCCTGGGACCTTGCTGACAAGGAAGCGTCTTCTTCAGGAAACGCTTCCTCTGATGCTGCTGCAGTTCCGGCGCAATGTGAGGCTTTGTACGAAGCCTGGGACCTTGCTGAACATGAAGCGTCTTCCAAAGAAAAAGCTGATGCTGATGCCGCTGCCGCTTCGGCGCAATGTGATGACCAAATTGCAGCTGCGCCAAAAGTTGCGCAAGAAAAGCAACAAGGGAAGCCTGCAACCAAAAGGAAAAGGAGACTGAGGAAGAAGGGTGTGAAGAAGGCCAAAAAGCCAGTGGAGATTCCAATGCCTGGCTTGCAGGAAAGTGACACAGAGCAGAGCCAAATTGACGAACAAAGATGGAAGACGCGTGCTTCCAAAGCGAGGTACCATAGTGCATGGAAGGCTGTCAAGGAAGAGCCTGCTGATGAGGTAGGCGCGCAGCAACCTGCTCATGAACTACAATTACAATCAAAAGATCAGCCAATTATGGCGGAAGCTGTGCCACCCTTTCCAGCTGCTGAAGCAGAGACTGGACCTTTGGCGCAGCGTCTCACAGAGCAATTGGTCAGCGCTCTCTTGCAGCACCCTTCACCGCCACCAGTGGCACCGCCACCGCCCAAAGCAGCTGAAGGGTCAAAGCCTCCATGGCGTCGTGCACCCAAACCGAAAGCAATGGCTCCGCCAGCAGCGAGAAGCAAATTCATGTGTGGTCCTCCAATGACTCTGATGGCTGCACCTGCCCGCATGGTGGAGCCAGGTCTTCCAGCTCCACAACCACCGCCACCGCCCAAGACGACTACACCACCTCCCAGGGTTAAAGGTCCTGCTGGGGTTGAGTACGAAGGAAGGTTCTACGTGACTTGCATGGTTTGGACACCAGAATATTTCCCGAAAGCATTGCGAAGGGTTCTTCCGGAAAATCCTTTGAACACTGACACTTCGACACTTACACTCAGACACACCTAGACATTGACACTTTCACCACACTGGCAGGATAAATAACATGAACGCTATACGTAGCCCTGTGTAAGTGGAAGAGCGAAAGCTGTCAAAGTATGCAAGTGGAAGTATGCAAGTGTAAGCACGGGTATGAGTATGCATGCAATGAGTATGCAAGCATGCAATGAGTAGGCAAGTGAACTAGCACGGGAGATGTCCTAATGAAAAAACATTTCCCCACTTTATAAATTCTCTCTTAAAGGCGGAGGGTGGGACGAACAGCGTCAACCGAAA